TAAACGCCGACATCAAGTGCATTGCGATTTGAACAAAGCTGCAAGGTGTTCATAAGCAGGTCTTTTAAGAGAAGGGTATCTCTATTACAGGTGGTTAACTAAAGGAATGTCTGATGTTGGGACACAATATAAGGCTTTTCTTTTTTAGGTCAAGTCAAAAGATAACATTCAAGAAAGAGAAAAGTACAGTATTAAAGGAATTGATTACCTAAAAAGAGAATAAAACAACTGAATAAATACAACAGGGAAACGTTGTCACATAATACTGTTTGTGTGTAGAATTTGAGGTACGGGGCAAAGATCACTGGCTGGATCAAAGACACGTCAACATATTATGTTAGATGTGTAACCGAAACCACATTGAGCTTTCGATGCACTCCACGCGTGGTTGAACACACTTAAATACGCATAATAAAACGGCATCAACATATCACAGCCGTGGGATCAGTCATGACAGAAATATTTAAAATAGAATGATTCATCCAGAAACCAGGCCAAGGATTAAGATTGGAGGATTGACCACGTTTGCCATTCTCATGCTTAAACCCTCCTTTCCTCATGACTTGCTGATGGATTTGTCTATAATTTCATTATTACTTCTTAATAGACTGCAACAAGCTGCTCAATAAGACCCATTTCTGTTAGCGAGGGATAATTCATTCCACATTTTTACAGACAGAAAGCACCATCCCATGCCAACACCATAGCAGGGCATCAAGAGAGGACTGCTAAATCTGCTTTTGCAGAGGAAACAGAGACGTACTTAAATTGCCAGTTTCCAATCTCACTCCATGTTTATGGTTTTGTTCTCCAATTTGTCAGTTAGAGCCTAATAGGAAAGCCAACGCTCTTTGCAAACCAGAGATACTGGTAAAGGAACAGAGGACAAAACACGAATGGGGATACTTTAATTTTTCCATCAATCCATGTAACCTCAAGTCTTCATCAGTGTCACGCAACAGGGATGGAGCCAGGAGCAGAAGCCTTCTCCTGAACTCAAAACACTTTTCCTGTTTACAGTAGAAGAGCGGAATAATTATCAAATGGTCAGCCTTTGAAATGAATCCACCTTTGCTAAATGAAGATATCTCCTGTTGTGTAATGCTCAATAACCCAACTATTAATGTGTGCTCTCTTGGAAAGCCAATGTATTAGCATGGAGAAGCTCCAGAACAGAGACTGCCTCCAAGAGCAGGCAGCACAGAGAGAATGCATTAGACTTGCGGTCGGCTGATCTTTGGTTCTTGAAAAAATGCCGACATCTCCTCCCTCCAGTCCAAAACTAAGACTGGATCACAGAGCAGGGGGAAAGGTTTAGTGTTCATAATTTGGGGGATTTGAATGAAAAACTTAAATGGGAGTGGAATGGGAATAGCTTTTCCCCTGTACTTGATTATGATGATGTGGGAATTTGCAGATTGGGAGAAGGGATTGGAACATTTTGTTGAAGGGCTGTATTCCATGATTTCATACGCCATGCTAAAGAATTCCATAATACATACAGACATGGTCAGAAAACATGGTTAGATCTTCAATCATGAGCAACAAACACTGGAAACTATCAGAGCCGAGAATGTCGTGTGCGAGGCGAGTGGAGGGCAGTTTCACAATAAGGTGTTGAGAGAAAAACGCTAAATCGCCCACTTTTGGCAGTGCAGTTCTGCAGGAGCTGTGGCTTCTGTGGTCTCCCACGGTGACCAAGTGGGACACTGCTAAACTGAATGAGCACTGTCAGACAGCATTCCCATCTACAGCAGGGGAGAGCGTCATCCCACTGCCTCAAACACCAACAACACGTGAACCCAGCTCATCGCTCGTTAAAGTTTAGGGAAAACAGCCAGAGTTTTTGACAAAATGTATGTCCATGTTAACAATATACGTGATTTGAAATACAGTGAGAGAAAAGGCTTGAACATCAATTAGTAGTTAAGTAGTGAAACTGTATGAGCAGAACTCTCCAAGAATGCTTTAAAGGTAAATCAGGGGAAGATGTCGAGCAAATCAGTATACTGTATATCAAAACAAAACACTCTGCTATTTGACAGAAAACTGGTGCCTTTAAATTACCTTAAAGTGTACTTGCCACACTCTACCTTTCATTTCAGGTAGGCGAAGACGGTGATGGTAAGTGACACAGCTGACACAGGGATGCTTTTAAGTCTGTTAAACAAAACTGTAACGGATTTATATACCAACAGGTCTCTTTTAAATGCCGAGCAAAGACCCAGAAAGAAGCCGGAACACACCAACAGGAAGGGGTTAAGAAAATAAATGGCGCCAATTTGAGATTTTGGGCAGCAATTGCTTGAGAAAAAAATAAATGATATGTCCATCATCAGGAAACATTAACATTCCTGGGCGAGCTGAAGAGAAGCTCAGATGAATGTTGGTATATTTCAGAGAGGATTTCTCCATTTAGTTCATTTGATACGTTTTTCTGTAACTAAAGTTCAAGTCAGAGAAGGAATTTATGTTTCATCATAAACATTTGGCATATATTTAACTAAAGTTGATAACATAAAATAATGTTGAAAATAATACCTGTGTGCAAATGTGTGTGTCTGTACAATGCATTTATTGACGGAAATTATTAATTGAAATGTAAAACATGTATTTTAAGTCCCTTTTTTATAGTTACTTGTGCTAATAGCACATTAAGCTCTTTAGTGCCAGTTCTATCTTATAATACCATGAACCAACATCACACATTCAAGCCATGGCTTTCACATAATATGCCAACGCTTTCAAAATGCAGAAACAATAGGACCATTTTCCTTTAAATCTATTAATATAAAGAAGAGAGGAAACACCCTATGCTAGAGCATTCCTGTTAACGTTTTTAAAAGCTATCAAAAACAGAGCTACAGTGTGTTTTCTCTTTGTATCAAATAAACAGCATTTGACAACTGTAACACTGCAAATGTCCCCATTATGGGCCCTAAAAGGTAAAAGATTATCTTAACCTATGTGACTTGCATGTAGGATTCAAATGGGACAACAGATGTATGTTGATTATCACGTAGAACAAAAACGCAAAACAATAATGTGTTTGTAAATCTGTCATGGGAACTCTCAGCTAAATGAAGTTGCATGTTGGTCTACAAGAAGACGTCATCGTTGGAATACTTTGTTGAGAACACATTAAGTCCCTTCATTATTGGAAAATGACAGCAGGCCCGGCAGTCATCACTCTCGGATGAGAAGTGGACACCAACAGTCACCAAACATGCACAGTACAGGAGCATGAAGCATTTATTTGTGCAAATCCACTAGAAACCAAACAAGATGAGCGAAATTCAGATGACGCCAGTATGGGATGTAGATGTGGCATCACTGTCAAAAGGAGAAAGAGCCCCATAGAGTTGAATGGCGTAAAATACAAAAGGATGAGTGAATGCTTACAATTCCCATTCGAGAAAAAAATAACTATGTTAATTAGAATTGCTAAATGTAGGTTTATATCCTGCAAAGTGCTTTAGTAACCAGTATAATATGTAAAACACAAACATTATTTCTACAGAAATGCAGATTAGACAAAACGATGCCCTTAAATCATTTCTAGCTCTCCGCCCCCTTCAAAAGGGCATAAAAGAACAGACCAAAAGGAGGAGGAAAGGGTTTGTTGAGTGGGGAGGAAAACAACATGAGCTCCATTAAAATGAAAGCGCCACATTCACAACAAAGAAAAAATGCTTTTGGAGGGAGAGCTGGAGCTAATTCAGCTACTCCTTAAGAGGAGTGATTGTTAACAGAGCCACTGGATTAAATGCACAGCCCGACCGCAACATAATGGCAACAAAGCATCTTCCAAATGAAAGGAAATGTAAAAAAAACCCTGTAAAACAAAAGCGATGCAAAAGAGGTTTGCGGAGAGCCATGTCTCTCAAACAAAAGCATCGTAAATGTAAATGTTTGTCTGCTTAAGGTCTTTTGCTGTACGCATGTGTCCCGCCAGGCATGGACACAACCAATGTAGCCCGATTGACAACAGATGTGTCCATCTATTTTGGTTCAACAAGCGCTCTCTGCAATAACACCATTAGTTGTCTCCTCATTTGCGATATCATTTTTCAACCATACGTTTTCCCCATTAGGGCCGCAGTGCCTTTCGGTAGCTTTTCCATAACTTCGCCGAAGCCAGCAATGCCGCTAACCGACAGTCCCATTGCAGAAGCTACATCAACGGAAACCAGAACGCGCTGGGGAAATACAACATTGTCAATTGAAAAGAGGACAACTAAAAATGGAATAGAATCAGCAGTATATGAAGTCTTCTTGAGCAATGCCAACGTGAATGGTTATAGAATAGAGAGTCAAAGAGACTCTTGAGTTTTGACTGTGTGATGTGTGCAGCTTGGGTTTGGCTTGTGAGGAGCCATATTTCATGGGGCTCAGAGGGTCGGGGCTGGTACCACATTTCATACTCCTCTTGTACAGTTCCTCAAAACTGAGACAATAGGATGGCTTCAAAGACGCATTACCTATTCCCACTTCAGGAACAAACTGCTGGTATTCCCATGGTTGGCTTCATTATTATTACCAAATGACAACAAATTATTAACATGCAGAAATAAATGTCATCTGAGTTGCATCCCGCACACACACACAACATCCAAGTTGTTATACATTTTTGTCATGTTTTTTCATCATGAAATAATCCATTGTGATGGAACATCGGACACACTTGTGTATCTATCATTAACAATATCCCTTACTCTCAGGTGATGACCTTATCCCTTGCACACAATTCTAAATTAAACTCATAAACCAGAAGAATTTCACTCCAAATCAAAGAATTAAATCAAAAGTAACTTATGATTGAACACTAACCTTAAATCAAATCTTAGTTCTAGCAACAACAAAAAAGGTTTGACACAAAAAACGACCTTTTTCAAAAGATATCCCAACTTATTAGTCCCAGAATAGGTTTCGCACATACACAACTACACACACAAGCACACAATGTGCACTTTCCCATTTGTGAAAGAACTCAGACTGACCTACTCGCAGCTCCTGACCGAAGACTGTCCTTTCTCCCAGCGCCGAACAGTTCCAGCGTCCATACCGGAACTGGTACTGACACTCATTGATGCCCATCTGGGCGCCTTCGCCCACAACAATGATGGCGTCCGGGCGGCTCTGGCAGATGGCCCGCTGGCGAGGTGCCAGCCCGGGAATCTTGTTGCAGATGATGTTGGCACCCAGAGCCACCACCGAGGATAGGGCCCTGCCAAAGGAAGAGAAAGACACCACCACGCACACACACACACACACACACACACACACACACACACACACACACACACACATTCATTTACACACACATACACACAGACACACACTCAGTTAGGACTTATAGGACGGTTGTACTGACTCATTTATTTATGTAAAACTCTCCAAAACAGAATTCATTTTAACAAGTGATTGATGAGTGTTCCAAAGTGAAGTGAACACTGTACTAACTACTATTTAAAGGATTAAAGTTACATCAAAAACATTTATAAATAATCAAAACTAAAGCTTAAAAAATATACAGTTTAAGTTGCTATAACAGCCCTGAGATGGAAAACAAGATGCTGATTTGAGAACTGACATCAGCCTTCTAGAAGGTTGTGATTGGATGGTGTATTAGTTATAAAGGGTTTTTTGTAAGTTGTTAAGAAACACATTGCCATGAATAGTTGCCAGACTTGCCTCTTCTGCAAAAACAGTATACACACTTCATCAAACTGTTTTCTGTGATGTAAATGCAGGGTTCACATTTTAACCAAATGTCACACAAAATATTATTCTTTATGATTTGTGTGATTATGTGTTGGAAAGTTATACAGGGTGAAAAGTGCTGCCTATACATTTCATGACAGACTGATTTTACTTTGGCCACATCGGAAGATTGGTTTGCATGGAAAATGTGTACCCGTTTTCGACACTGGTCTCATTAATTCGCAGGGTGTTAATGTGCTGCATCGCAAATGGCAAACACCTTTCTCCACTCCCCTCAGGGGGACGTCATCATATCTGATCTCTGGATGTGATCATATCAAAACATATGTTAAAGATGGCTTTGTAACCACTGAGAAAGCCAAAACAGATTACAGCTAAACAAAGTGCTGACTTTCTCCACAACTCTGTTTACAGCCCTCGAAACCATGTAGATACATACTTTTCAAACATGTCAGGGAATGGGAGCCATAAACGAGCGTGGAGGCAAACGGCAGCTTTGAAGTATGACGTCTGCCTCCAAAGGCTTCACCACAAATAGGGCAAACTAACGCGGGCAAGTTGTGTGTCAGCGAAAAGCAACAGCGGCGTAAGAGGAGTGAAAAGAAACGAGGAGAAACAATGATTTCGGTTGATACAATGCCCCCTTGACTAAGAAGAAAGATATGATTGTTGATTAGAAATCTCCCTCTGATCCCATGTTCCCTTATTCACTGTTTGCTTGAGTTTCTTCACAAGACAGAACAACTTTTTAACACACAAGTTGAAATAGATTCTCACTGCAGCGACACAAGTTAAATGTTACTGGACTGAGGACTAAGCACATTGTCTTCACACGGCAGTCAATTTTGCAACAGAGCTAACTGAACATTTTAAATTACAGTAAACAAGCTAATATTTGTTTCCTAAAACAAAGCAGAAAGTTCTTTTTTTGTCTAAACATGTGCATCACTACACTTCAACTGAAGGCTGTCAATATTAAACAAGTTGAAATAAAAACCATGAATTCATCAGGTGCATTCACTGTCTGCAGGAAACACTGGCCGGCTGCTGCTGCGGCTGCTGCTTTTAAACACTCCTCGCTCTCTCGCTGATAAACAGGCTTGAACTCCTCTGACCCTCTGTGACCCGCTGCTGTATAGGTGGTTGTTCATGGCAACGCTGAAATGTAGTCGGTACAAAGCAAAAGGGCAGGCTCATTAACACAAGTAATGTGCAACTGGATAAATGCACTGTCTTAAATAAAGGATGTTACGGTCGAAAGGAAGTGGTTTGTTTATGCTAATCCAAAGGCAATACAATTCATTTGTATTACTATGGTAGTTTAGTGCACAACTTAAAAAGCTACAGCACATGGATATTTGTAGGTCTTGCCAACAGACCTCCTAGTGACTTCCCCTCTCAGCTTTTTCCTCATGTCGTTCACCTGCTAATTCACAGAATCACAGTACTACTGGCAAACCGAACCATCAGACAACACCAAACAGAGAATTCCACAGCTAAGCTTTTAAATCCCTGAAATCATCAAAGTGCACAAATGCGATTCTGTTTGCTTAGCGCATACTTGTGTGTACGCCAGCGGCTTGGGGACAAGCTCACCCACGGTCACAGATCCACCATCAGATAAAACGGCAGCAGCTCTAAAGTATGATTTCATATATCAGATGTCAGAGTAATGATAAGGTGAATCTATTGACCCAAAGTATTCAGTGTTTGATTGAACACTTAATGCAATTGTCATAGAATTAGTTGTTTTTGTTAATTGCTCTGCAACAGGTGGCATGCATTTTTGCAAAATCTAATCCTTGCACAGGTACTGTTAAGCTCATATCCAAAATCAAATACAAATCTTATATGTGGTTTCAAATGTTTTTGTGGATTGATTAAACATCACTAAACTAGTTGTGCACAAGGTCACACATATCTTTATCTTCATCCGACAGAACATCGGTAACACTCAGTAACAAAGAAAATCACATTATACAAAACATCTAACATTACATTTCAGAGAAAGAGAGGCCTCTGCCAGTTTAGGCTGACATACAAAAATAAATTGGAACGACATGATTGAAAAAGCCAGTAGCAGTGTGAGAGGTGAGGAGCTTACAGGTTCCATCAGAGGGTAGTTTGGCCTAAAGAGAAAGTCTACGCAGCATGCTCACAGCCACCTACTCCATCAAACAAGTACTTTGAACCTAACTGACACACTATTAAGCTGCCAGGCATGCATCTTCTACCGAGGAATGCACTCTCAAAAATACCTGAGACACAACTTAAATAAGTGAAGTGAAAATGTGCTCTTCTTTTTCCAAGAGCTGGATCTAACTGTTTTGATGATTAGGATTTTCCTTGTTTGGTGTTCATTCACAAATACAATGATCTGTGCACAGAAGGTGTTTACTTCATAACAAAATCCTGTTTATATCTGTTCTGAGAAAGTATCACACCGGTTAGGCCTGTGTGATATTTACAAAACTGAGTGAAAAAGGTCTGTTTATTGTCATTGGAACATTAAGTGTGAAATTCCTCGATAGTGGAGTGTGTGAGGTGTGCAATTGCCCGATTGCTGGTCAGATCCTTTGGCTGACGGCTCATTTGCCACCCACAGCTCCACAAATTGTACAGTTTAACAAGCCATAACATTAGGCCTGGCTCTTTGAATAAAGGACATTGCATTATTTTTTGATCAATAAATGTTTTCCTTTAAAAACATATTTTCTGGTTAATTTTCAACAGAAAACATGCTTAAATAATCAAACAATAGTGTGTAGTTTTAATGTGCAATACAACTAAACTTAGCAGTGTAACCCACTTTTAACAGAAAAACCAAAAACCACATCTATTTCAGCATCAGGTTTGGGGTCTCCGGGCAGTAAAGGAAGGAGCGAGGGAGCATGGCTGAGTAATTATTTTTGGAAGCTTTGAGAAAGCCAGTGTTCTCCAGCAAGATTAATTCTCGTTTAATGCAAAGCCACAGCGCATTATAGTGTCAATCACGTGTGTGTTGCAGCTATATGTTCTAAGATGGGGGTTTGATAAGATAACATCAAAATTCAGATAATCAATCAAAGATGAGGTAATGCACAGAGATAATCTGTCACACGCTCTGACAGGTTATGGGCGCTCGCATGCGTTAAAGTGCACATATTATGTTAAATTCCCCTCACAGGAAGAAAGACCGAATCTCAGCATCCAATTGTCTTGAACATCTCTGCCACTCTGTGGCCAAAATGAATCAATGTAGCCGTTACCAATATGATTTCTGTTCTTGCTAAAATATTTGCGATACGACAGATAGACTGAAGCCACAACTGCTTACTCACAAGACATGCTCCTCTGCACACGGCACATTACTACACCTTCAGGTTTTGAGCCAATTAGATAATTCCCATGTGGATCCTTTTCCCGGTGATTTTAGCAATAATGAATAGACTCTGCTGAAGTTACGCTTGCATAACATTAGGAAGTGTGTGAAAAATATCTTACAATAAAATCAAATGGTCTGCTTAATTTGGAGTTTTGCTTCGTCTGCTCCCTGTGCCATTACAGCCTGATGATGGCACAATATAAACAACTTAAAATAAACTCCAATCTGTGGACCCGGAGAATTAAGGAAATTCATATCAGAACCGGCGTTAAATGAAAAGGAAGGATACCCCGTTGTCCGGTAGGAAAGCTGCACGGGGGCAAAACCAAACCCGTGCGTCTGTTGCTAAGGATGAGCGCGCATTCTGTGAAAGTTCATTAAGGAAACCGTTAATTGGTTCAGACTTACAGGTAGCTGCCACTCGTCAGGATCAGGAAGATCTGTGGGTAATAGACTGACAGCAGTACACTGCGCGACGAGAAGATGATCATGATGACATTGAGCAAATGGCCACGTTCGGACTGAGTGAGACGAAGGATGAAAAACTCCCTTATAATTCCCGGTTTTAGGTCCCTTTCGCACAGAATCAAAAAGAGGTGCTGTGCGTCTGCTTGTCTTTGGTGCGGTGGCTCTACGCAGCTCCGAGCTCCCAGGGCCGTGTGTGCGCTGATATTGGCTCTGTCATCTCTCAGCGGCGGAGGCTGTTACACACTACTGTGGCTTCCCGAGCCGGAATGATGATGGTTTTAGGGATTTTGCATGGCAGAAAAGTGCCTCTCTCTACTCTCATGAGAGTCGTGCCTGCCATTGGGCAGGGAGAGACACTGCTATCCGCCCACTTTGCCACAACGGGACAATAGGGTGACACTGATCCGATCCCCGTTGGACGTGCAGGAGGTTTTCATTCATCATCACACCCCCCATCACCCCCCCTTCACCAACCCCACCTCCCCACCCCACCATCCAGCCAAAAATAAACAAACATAGACGCTGGCTGCTCGAGCCTCACACCATCATCACAGCATGTGCAAACAAATCTGCACATTTCTTTGGCAGGATGTCACTCTGAATCAACAAGTTGGTGTCATATAAATGCAATAAAGTCCTTATAATATGACATGTATTATTCTCCTAATATGTCAGTATGGGTGCCTGGAGGGCATTAGCCATCAAGAAATGTCCTTACGTCCCACAATATTTGGATTATATGATATTCTTGGGCATATACAGTGTGTATTGTAACAAGTTTTCCTATAACATTTCCCTAGAAACATAAAATAAAGCATATTTGTGGTACTCAAATATGACTTTCAGGGACCTTATTATTTCCTGTGGTAACACTATAATATTCCTATAGGCGTCTATAATATGTCTGCTCTGTCTGCCTGTCTGCTTCTATGTCATGGCAGTCAATATGTTCAAATATTCATTTTGGGACCTTGCTGTGAAATTGCATAATAATCTTGTCAGATTGTAGTATTGCTAAAGGTAAAATACATTCTTTTTTTCCTTTAAATAGCACTCCTCTTTCCCAAGATTAGATCTGCAAAGAGATATAAAATACTTGTGGAGATTTGGTCGCAGAGCTTAGTGAGAGCAGGGCTTTTATCCCCTCAGTATCGTGACTCTCACTCAACACCTGCAGGCTCCAGTCATTGTAAATGAAGAGGGTACAATGAAAGATTTAGCCGGAGTAAAAGGATGGGAGGAATGAGCTAACTGCTCAGGCTCAGTAAACACGGAGATGGGTGACTTTCTCCTTTTATTGGAGCTACTGTCATGTGATATGAGCATCTGTGGAACTTGAAGTCATTTACACGCTTCACTTCACATGAGGTCCTCTCAGGGAGGGCAGACGCTTTTTTTTTGGTTGGGCTCATTGTGGCAGCAGGAATCTCCAAAAACACTATGAAAGAGCCTTAAGGTTGAATGGATGTAACCAGTCTATTTGTGAGACAGATTATAATTCAGTTAACTTCTCATTAACTGCTTGGTTACAGTTTTTCACGAACAAAAATGTAGTCCCACATAAAAGTTGTCTATAATGACTGATATGCAATATTAGACAAATGGAAATATGCAATATACTACTTTTTTTCCTCCTCTTCATTTAACTATAGGCATTTATCCCCCCAAATGCTCAGTATTAGTTTAAGACATTAACTAGTTATACGCAGTAGAGGAATGTGCATTTACCAAGTATCAGTTTCAGGTACTTATATTTCCATTTTCTGCCAATTTACTTAGACTCCAATACATCTCAGAGTGAAATATTGTACTTGCTCTATATGTATTTAACATAGTTACTACTAGTGACTTTGTCATAAGTAACTTGATATTACATTTTATACACTATTAATCTACTCGTTAGAACATAAAGTATCCAAAACTTGCTTCACACAATTGAAACACAACATTTAAAAAGAGTCCTTGTGCACCATGAACACTTCTACTTTTGATACTTTAAGCAGACTTGTACTTCTGTACTTTTACTCAGGTAACATTTTAAACTAAGTTTTTTTTAGACCGTGGTATTAGTTTTACTTGAGAAAATAATCTACTTATTCCATCACTGGTTATACTGTACATTACAGTTTAAGTATAGGTTTCAGGGAGGTCACCATCAACGTAAGATATGTTTTCACAATTAAGCATGCACATTTCATAAATCGAGAAACATTAACCAGCATGCATAGCGTGAACAAAAATAAAATACTTCCTTCACAGATTTTTACGAGACATAATTTATCATGATTATAAAATGTGTACACGGGGGTCCTAATATGATCAGGCACTGCGATAGGCACAGCAGAGTAGGAATGGATAGAAGTCTTTCTGTGTTTATGCATCAAGGTGAGGTATTGCAAAACAGGTAAAAACTCTGTGTCTGGCCGATGGAATGTGGAAATACAACTCAGTCTGCCTCTATTAATGAAGGTATGCAGGGTGAAGCTGGATCTGGAGCAATGACAGCGGCTCAAATTATCTCGTGCGAAAAATAAGCAGTATAGTCTCATGAGGTGAACTTAATAGCTCCTTTAAGGCGAATTCGAATCGATCATATTGTGTGTAGGCATGATCTGACGCTTTTGTACGCTCTACACACTCAGATGCAGGTGTTTAGTTATCATGATTATTAACATATATTTTTTAAAGACCAGGTGAAAACAGATTTGTTTACATTATGGTTAAGTCTGAGGTCAGAGGGCAGCTGGAGCTTCCCTGTTAAAAGTTAAATAGTCCGAGTGTCGCAATGAAATGTCCATGTTTGCGCGTTTAAAGAAAACGAAGGTAAACACAGTTAACTCACCCAAGTCTGAGGTATATGATGCCGAAACACAGGAACACGTTGAGACTCCACTTTCGGAGGGGTTTGTGCATGATCGTTGGCACTTTGTCCAGAGGCCATGCACTGTAACGTAAAGTGGACACGCTTTCCGTTCACATTGGCAGCTTTCCTAACCCTTCCAGATGCACGTATACCGCCTGTTTCCCGCGACGTGGAGCTGAAGAGATATTGAAATCTTCGACCGTGTGAAATCCATGGTCCAGCAGTACAGGTGAGATGCTCATGACGAACTGAAAGGTGGATAACAAGTCCAAAAAGAAACTTGAGAGAGGGTCGGACTTGAGAGGTGAATGAGTTCTTGGAGGAAGTGCCTCCTATTCGTCCTTACTTTCACGATAGAGCCTAATTAACGATTCCCATTTGCTGCGCCATGCAGGTAGAAAAAACGACTAGCTCTTACCCTGTCGACCCTGTGGATTTTGTCTTGTTTAGAGCTTTGTACATCGCCCACTGCTCCTTTTCTCTACAGACATCTTAACGCATTCCATGTAACTAACTTGCAACAGCCAGGTAGTCTAACACAGGTAACAAAAGGGCTCCACGCCTCCTCCTCCTCCTCCTCCAGCATGGATATGCAGGGGATGGGACGGGCTTCCAGTCTGAGCTCTACACGTGTAGTTGTTGTACAGAAAACTAAAAGGAACCAAGTCAAATGGCCTTTTATAGGCCTGTGGCCCAGGCTAGGCAACATTGGGCATTGCCCCGCCAGTGTGGGCTCCCCCGGATGAGCTCCACCACAACAGTAAGACCCATAAAGTCAAACAGACGAGGAATGACTTTCCAGAATCCAGATGCATGAATACAAATTACAATTGCATGACTAATAATGACTAATAATAATGAACTGGCGTCATGATACCTATGTGTCAGGGAAGTTCTGTCAGTCACTTTGATTTAGAGAGCAATGTTTGAACAAAACATCACAAACAAAACATAAATATTGTTTGGGTTTGAGTTGGAATGTTGTGAATTTTGAGCAGATGTTGAAAAAACAGAGTGAACTCCTTTGAGTGCTTTTATCTGACTAGGAAGACTCCCTCTGGTGGCAACAACATACAGACATTGACCTTTTCACTATAGGGGAACTCCTGCATTACAGTGAGTTTAAAATCAAGAATGAAACACAGCGGGTGCTCTGCAAAACAGTGTTAGGTTTAAGCTGAATAAAGATAACAATGTGGGTTAAACCAACATGCATCTTCAAAATGATTGAATGTATTTATTTATATAATTTAAAGGATTGTTTTCTTAAAATATCAAAATAACCCACTTAATATGTTTTAATAAGCTTAATTATTGTTTAATTTAAATGTGATTAAATGTATAGTAATTAAGTAGCACAGCTAATATCCTACTCGGTAGAGAATATAATCAAGGCCTCTCTGATGTTAGATTTATTTGTCACATTTTATATGAACACACCAGTTAGAAATATTCTGTGTTTCTGCAGCAAACAACAATCATCTGGATATGTTCCTCCTCTCCGCCTAGCTAGTCAATCATCTAATGAACCCCATTCCCTTCTGTCTACATGTTATGGTCTAAGTTCAACTTCTTTAGAGAACACATTAACCATCAATTCAGTACATTTCCAAGAAACGGCATGAAAAACGGCTAACGTGTTGTAATAATGATGGCATAAACTAAAATTAAAGACATGAGCTATCTGAGCGCAGAGACTGCTGGGCTGTTGTTGACCACGAGAAACAGACAAAACCGCAGAGACCTTTGTTTCAAGACATCCCTGCATTGTGGTTTCAAGGCCTTTTCCTTCAAAACATCCCCATCAAAATTCCAGATGGATTTTAGAAATAATGAAAGTCAACATGCGGGCCCAGGGTGACATAAAAAAGACATGTATTTGATGTCTACCCCGTAACAGATGGTCTTGTTTGTCTGCAAATGTACATAGCTCATCGTCGGGGCCTGGGTGGGGATGGTCCTATTTAGTTTAATTAAAATGTTCAAAGAGCTAACACTTTTTTATTAAAGCAGGATCAGACCAAGGACAGTGTGCGTCAGCGTTATTTTTTCACCCGCCATTGTCATTACAGACGTGTCGCACACATCCGCGCTCGCTCGTTGGTGGCGCACACATGCCTGTGCACGCTAACACACATTATCTGTCTATGTGTCCACACATACAGTGAGTATGCTCACAAATCAAACCGTAGACACAAGCACTGCTGTGGACACACAGGGAGTCTCTCACACATATAGCACTTGGGTGGTATGTGGAATATCTTGTGACACACTGTTTATTTAACTTCAAAAAGCTGAGGCAGGGATGAGAGCTTTTGGGTCAGCGAGGACATATCAATCTGAGTCAGTCATACGCCACATCACTGCTTGTGCTTTATGCCGCATTACAGGCCATTGTCTTTGGAATATTTCCTCCAACAGTCTCCTGAAAGGCGTTTGCTGTCCTCCTTCCTCCGTATTTACCCTCTTCGCAGCCTGCTCTATCCCTTTAAAAACTGTCTGGCAAACTTTTTTCAAGATTGCACTATTGTGTCTGTTCCTTTTCATCTGCATGCACTCTTCTCAAACTTAAGAAGAAGGGGAAAATGTTGGGAAGAAAGGAGGGGGGGAGGGATCATATTTTGGCAAGTATGGGATGATATGTCACACTGTCTTTTTGAATATCATTAAGTAGTCTTGACCGACATCTAAATAAAAAAAAAAACACCGGTTGCCCGTGTGTTTGCATGGGATCTGGTTCAGCTGGAAACAGTGAGAGGGCTAAAATGAAGAGCGTGCCAAACCATGGAGTGGCGTCTGGGGCTGGGTCCACCACATCTACACAGGGCCCCCGGCAAGAGGGGGGAAACGGCTATTATGCTCTGGCAAAGTCCCCCCTCTCCATGTCCATCGGCTATCTCCTTCTAACTCTGTTCCTTTTGAGTTTTACATGTCCGTCAATTAGCCAAACTCAGATTTAGTCAGACGCAGTGAGAGGAAGCAGCCATCAGAGGAAGACGATTCACAGAGGTACGCTGAGGGAAAGTGACCTTTTAGTCCTGGATGTCAGATGTCTCCTCACACATCTAACTGTGAGGTCAGAGGTTAAACCAACTCTACGCGTCCTCCCCTCCTGACCAATGGTTTTGACCTTTTCCTCTCTTCTGTTCAGTCACAGCTGTGGATAGGGAAGAAGGGTGTGGTGTGATTAATTCCTCACCATGCTCGCTGATATATCAAGCTGTTGGTGGCTCAAAAAGATCTGTAAGGCTGGGTCACCATGTATTCTGCTTCTTACTGGCTGTTTAGTGGCTGAAATGCTGCACAATGTCCACCCAATGGAAAGCAGGCTTTGTGAGAGTTGGCCTTAGAGTCCGATACCACTTTGGGAGCTTGTGTAAATTCAAACTCAAAGGGGAGAGCACTGTTTTTTCCTCATGTTTAAAACCTTCTAACACTAATTTCCAATGTTTCTATTTTAAATAGCGCTCACTTCTTAGCAAGGCCGCTAGCCAAACTGTCATGGGTGTTTTCCTGATCAGGCTATACGGACTCGAGACAGAACAGGGAGGCAGGATCAATTTACCCAAATCTGACAGTCTGGGACCACAACGCCAAAGCTGTAGCCTCTATTCAGGAGCACACTCACTAAAATGAATGAAATGGCTTAGAGGAAAGAAAAGAGTCCAGTTTCAAATTGGAGAGGCCTGAGAATGACTGAGATTAGGATTTGTTGCTACTGTGCCATGTGTCTAGACCGGGCTCACGACTATACCAGTGTGACTGTAGTTGGTATGTTGCGCAAAAGTAATATAATATACACTTAGTAATTACTGAATGTGATAGTTCAGCAGGAATACATTATACAACAACAGACCCCTAGTGCCACCATCAGCACTATTTGCCACACAAGACAACATAATTGGGGGTTTGTTTTGGGGGATTTTCGGTCTCCCGCTCAAGCATTCTTGTTTTTACAGGCTAATATTTTCTAACAAGCCGGAAGCACAATGAACTGAAACCGGACAAACATGTCAGTACATTTAGAATTAGCAGTGCAAAGATTATATCTAATCTGATGTTGAAATTATGCCTTTTTAAATATATGTTTTGGTTCATAATTTGTAGCCAAATGTCAGAAACAATAGACTGAAAAATACAGAATATTCAGTTCACCCTGGGGGTTTGGACTAACGTTATATTTCCAGAGATAATAATATTATCAGTTTCTGTACCCACATTCAGATTGAGACTGTTGTGGGTGACAACAAAACAACTTGTGCTAGAGAAACGTTATAATATATAGATCCACATACTTCACATCCTCTTAATCCCTGAAAGACTTTGGAGCATTGGTGGCCACAGATGGACAGATAGGTGCATTAAAGTACATTACTACTGTCTCTAAAGTTATTATGAATATACCACATTCTGACTTAATAGAAAATGAGAAGCAAAACTGACAACAGGGATCATCTAATGCATATTCAACTAATTTCTCCACACATTCTTTTAATCAATAACAGAAGGCCGGTGTTACAATATAGATTAGAATAGATATACCACATTCAGTCTCCTTGGTCCCAGGCATCCCAGACATTCACAATAAAATTAAAACAGACATGTGGCTTGTGTCTGTAGCAAAGGCCGCAGACATTTTGTGCAGTGGAGCGAATACAAGCAATACTCTCTACTGGCCTCTAATAAGCCAGAGGGTATGAGAAAAGGTCTGAGAACCGACAGGGTCCTCGTCAATTTGGCAATTTGGACGTGATTTAATCTGAAACATTTATATCATGACATGTTCCCTACGTCCACAAGCAACAATTCAACTGGATTTAATTGCTGTTTTGTTTTCAAAATGGCAGCTTGACTATGAAAATAATGCATGAATAAACCAGAAATGACACAAAACAGTAAGTTTGAGGTTAGTTTTATGAGGCCTCTTATAGTCCAACATGCCCTGTAGTTCTTTAAATAACCATCTCGCAAAATTGATTCCATCGCATGTTGTTCTCATTGGCTGAGAGCTATAAGTGAATGCTTCAATAGGCAGGAATAGGGATGAGATAACATTGCACACTGAATTAAGTATTAACTTTCCTCCCCTTTTGGGTAAACGTTGCGGATACATCAAATGCATGCTTTGGCGTTGGAGTTTACATACCTGTGGAAGTTAAACAGAGAGCCTTGACATAAGGTGTGGCCCCATTTTTGTATCTGACCGCAGCTATGGACTGGCAGAAGTGCGGGGACAACGTACACACGCACACACACCCACACATGCAAACGTAGCTCTGAACAGCTGGGAGTGTTTGCAGTGTGAGTGGGTCCTTCGTTCTCCTCTCTGTCTAACACAATGACCCATGCACTGTCTGTGTTTGCACTGCACCTAGCTCAAACAGCGCTCGTTTCCGTCCCCTTGCCTCTGAAGCTGGCTTTTGTAAAGACACACACACACACACACACACACACACACACACACACACACACACACACACACACACACACACACACACACACACACACACACACACACACA